GCTTGAATGAAGCTTACTCTGTCATTCGTAGCCAAATCATCATGAAGAAACACATCCCTACTCTATCAGAGGTATATAACCTACTGGATCAAGATCACAGTCAACGATCTATAATGCCAGTTCAGAATGCCTCTGCCTTCAATGTTTCTGCTTCTTTACCTGCACAAGCATCAGTCAATGCAGCTGCTAAATCTCAAGCGAGACCAATATGTTCTCATTGTGGCTACACAGGGCATATGGTGGACAAGTGTTACAGGATACATGGTTATCCACCAGGATTCAAACATAAGTCCAAAACCGAGAAGCCTCCTTCGGATAAATCATCTGCATCAAATCAACCAAAGCCTGTTGTTGCTCAACTTAGCCTCACAGACACAGTTACAACTGATAATGCTGATGAAGTTACAAGGACTTTGACCAAAGACCAGATTGAGGGAGTTATAGCATATTTCAACAATCACCTTCAGACTTCTCAACCGAACGCTGTTGCTTCTTCATCAGGAGGAACTATTACTGCTTTGCCGGGTATGGCCTTTTCCTCCTCTACGATATGTTTTGTTGGCATTTTGCGAGAAACTCGAACTGCTTTATCTCCTCAGTCATGGATAATTGATAGTGGAGCCACTCATCATGTTGCTCATGATAAAAATCTCTTTCTGAACTTGTCCAACACTATTGATTCCTCCGTTACACTTCCCACTGGTATTGGAGTAAGAATCGTTGGTACAGGACAAGTTAAGTTGACAAACCAGATCATCTTAAACAATGTACTTTATATCCCTGACTTCCGGTTGAACCTTATCAGCGTGAGTCAGTTGACTAAAGATTTGGGATATTGAGTTACATTTGATGCAAATTCCTGTATGATACAGGATCATACCAAGGGCTTGATGATTGGTCAAGGTGAACAAATTTCCAACCTCTACGTTTTGGATATGGAATCTGTTGAAGCTAGCTCATCTCAGGCTTGTTCATTTTCTACTAATGTTGTTGTTGATTCTGCGTTGTGGCATAATAGGCTAGGGCATCCTTCTCTGTCTAAGTCTGATTCTCTTTCTCATGTACTTGGACTCAAAGAAAGGAATAAAGCTCCATTTCATTGTGCTGTGTGTCCACTCGCAAAACAACGCCATCTTTCTTTTCCTGCAAAGAATAACATTCGTGACAAAGCATTTGACATGGTACACATCGATGTTTGGGGACCTTTCTCAGTTCCAACTGCAGAAGGTTATCGATATTTTCTTACCATAGTGGACGATCACAGTCGTGTCACCTGGGTATATCTACTTCGAGCAAAGTCAGATGTTCTCAAGATTTTTCCAGAATTTCTACAAATGGTTGAGACTCAATATCATACCAAAGTTAAAGGGGTACGATCTGACAATGCCCCTGAGTTGAAATTTGAAGAACTATTCAAGAGAAAAGGGATTCTTTCATACCACTCATGTCCCGAAACCCCTGAGCAGAATTCTGTTGTCGAGAAGAAACATCAGCATCTCTTAAACGTAGCCAGAGCACTAATGTTTCAGTCAAAGCTTCCCTTGGAGTTCTGGGGAGACTGTATACTCACAGCAGTATTTTTAATCAACAGGATTCTCCCTTCTCAAGGATAAGTCTCCTTTTGAAGTTCTCACATCTAAAAAGCCTGATTACAGTGGTCTACGTGTCTTTGATTGCTTGTCCTATTGTTCCACATCCTCAAAAGGCAGACACAAATTCCAACCACGTGCAAGACCATGTGTTTTCTTGGGATATCCATCCGGCTACAAGGGTTACAAGTTATTGGATCTTGAGACAAAAACCACTCACATCTCTCGGAATGTGGTCTTTCATGAGGACATCTTTCCTATGACTGATGGTACTTCTAATCCCTTAACTGATGATATTTTTGATGATCTTGAAGATAATTCTGCAGTCCTCAATACTCATCCATCTACTACACCATCCGAGAAAAGGCAGACTAAGAAACCTGCACACTTGAATGATTATTTCTGCAATTTAGCAACATTCGGTGTGAAGTATCCGCTATCTGACTATATGACTTATGATCAGCTATCGGAACCGTATCGTGCTTTTGTCTGCTCTGTCACTAAGTATCCGGAACCCAGCTCATACACTCAAGCTAAGAAATCTTCAGATTGGTTAGCAGCTATGAATGAGGAACTACGAGCTTTAGAAGGCACTGCAACTTGGGAAGTTGTGTCTTTGCCACTGGGTAAACACTCTATCGGATGCAAATGGGTTTACAAAGTAAATCTGAATGCTGATGGCTCTTTGGAAAGATACAAGGCCAGATTAGTGGCTAAAGGCTATACACAACAGGAGGGAATTGACTTTGTGGATACTTTTTCTCCTGTAGCCAAAATGACAACTGTGAAAACGCTCTTAGCTGTTGCAGCGGCAAAGAACTGGAGTCTACACCAGCTTGATATTTCTAACGCCTTTCTCAACGGTGATTTAGAAGAAGAAATCTATATGAGACTACCTCCAGGATACACACCAAAGCAGGGGGAATCTTTACCTGAGAATGCAGTTTGCCGTTTGAAAAAGTCCTTATATGGACTCAAACAAGCTTCCCGCCAATGGTTCCTGAAGTTCAGCACAACTTTGTTGAGTTTGGGATTTCAAAAGTCACATACAGACTATACATTGTTTGTTCGAAACATTGATGGGAAGTACATGGCCGTCCTAGTCTATGTAGACGATATAATCGTGGCTAGCAATGATGACTCTGCAGTAGAACAATTCAAAGAAGCTCTGCAACAGGTCTTCAAGCTACGAGATCTTGGACCATTGAAATACTTTCGTGGTCTTGAAATAGCACGATCCAACTCGGGTATTTCCATATGCCAAAGGAAATACGCTCTGGAATTGCTAGAAGAATCCGGTCTCTTAGCCTGCAAACCGGCTAGTGTACCTATGGATCCAAATGTCAAGTTGAGACAGGACAGTGATGAACCGGTACTTGATGATCCGGAGATGTACAGACGATTGATCGGTAAACTCATGTACTTAACAATCACTCGTCCTGATATTACATACGCTGTGAATAAGCTTTGTCAATTTTCTTCTGCTCCAAAGCAATCACATCTTCAGGCTGGTTACAGAGTTCTACACTACATCAAAGGAACTGTTGGACTTGGCCTCTTTTATTCTGCTAACTCTGATCTAGTTCTTAAAGGATTTGCGGATGCTGACTGGGGTTCTTGCCAAGACACCAGGCGTTCAACATCAGGCTACTGTATGTTTCTTGGACCTTCTTTAATCTCATGGAAATCTAAGAAACAATCAGTAGTGTCCTTATCTTCTGCAGAATCCGAATATAGAGCTATGTCATTTGCAGCAAAGGAGATTGTTTGGCTTGTGAACCTTCTCACTGAGTTGCAGGTTCCACAAAGCAAAGCTGTTGCCTTCTACTGTGACTCAACCGGAGCTATCAACATCGCCAACAATGCTGTGTTCCATGAACGCATCAAGCATGTTGAGCTTGATTGTCACTCGGTTAGAGACAGAATCACAGAAGGATTGATCAAAACAATGCATGTCAAAACTGATTCACAATTAGCTGATGTGTTTACTAAACCTCTCTATCCAGGATTGTTCAATGCTCTTATTGGCAAGATGGCACTTCATTCTATATTCCTACCATCTTGAGGGGGAATAATAGAGTATAGAGTCGGTTTAGATAAGATTGTTATTCGGTTTATTGTAAACCAAAGTAAACCTTGTTCCCAATTTCATATATAAGGGACGTTGTAACAGTTTTGATCAATTAATGAGAATCATTTCTCTCGTCTTCAACGAACTCTTATTCTGTTAGTATGCTCGTCACCAATGCTTAATCAAAGAAGTTTATGAGTTGGAGGTAAAAAATAATATATTATACTCGTTAAAATTAAACTAATAGTTTTTATAAGATGAATCGTAATTTATATAGTTTTTTGTGTGTGTCTTTTAGGCTTGAACGATTCTTGAAAGTGATGCTTCAAGAGAAGAGAAGAAAAGAGAAGACATTTTCGTTGAAACGTTAACAAGAATTTCCTACTATCTGTATAATAATTTGGCTTTGTAATAATCTGAATCTGTTGAAATGTTGTGTCGTACTGTTTTTATTCTAATTATGTGTTTGTAAGCTTGAAACCTCCGCTTTGAGAATGATTATCATCCTTCTAATTATCTACTAATGAGTGATGTTGCAGTTATGTTTACTCTACTTTTGGACACAAGCAAAGTAATTATGGCTTCAGTTTCTAAGAAAAATTTCCCCGAAAGATGGTGAGAACTAAGGCTCAATTAGCTACAGAAGAAGGTATCTCAGTACTTTGGAAAGGCAGGACTGCATCGACTACGTTTCTATGGTGGCTTGGGTTATCTGAACCTGTGAGTCTCCCATATGCCTTTCCTTTCTGTAGTGCTCTTTTTTCTTTTGTATATATACTCTCTTATATCTGAGGAATTATTTACTTTGCGATCTCTGGCCAGGTCAAGACATCTTTTTGTTGGAACTTGGAAGTAATCTGAGTGAAAGATGGACATTTTTTTGTGACAACAGGAGCTATAGCCTTTACAATTGCTTTTGCGTTTTGATTAAATGAGTCATAGTTTAAAATTTCTCAGTCAAAAGTTTTGTATTAATTAGTAGGATAGAATGTATATTTCGGAAGCTTTTAATAAAATGTTTGATGGAGCTAATAAAGATGATCTGTATCTTTGATTTAAATTGTTATAGTATTATTAATCATTGATCAAGTTACATAACATTTATGTGTTGGAGTTGTGTTTTTTTTTTAAAAAACAATCTTTTATTTCGATATGGGTTCCCAACTGCAACACGTTTTCTGCAAATTTCACAAAGAGACAACACAATATAGTTTGACGGAAACTTAAACTTTTAGGAGAACTTTAACAACAAAAACAAACTTTTAGGAGCAGGAAATGGTCAATGCCCATACGCACAACGAGTATGGTCCCTAGTTCCTTTCATGAATCCCTTCGATCCGATGCAGATCGCAGACCTCAAAACTGGGTTCAAAGTAGGAAACAAATTAGATGCTCTGCCTCCGACAGGGGTGCTTACGGGTCCCCTCTTCCCTTGGGTCATTTGGTCCTTGTGGCATACGCGTAACCGGAAGATTTTTGAAAGCAAATCACTATTGGAACAAGATACGGTTACAAAAGCAGTTCGAGAAACTCGAGAATGGCAAGCTGCACAAATGAATGAAAAAACAGAGCATGGAAAATAAAATTTCAGAGACAGAGATAGTCCTCCCCCAGTGGATGTGTGGTTATTCATACAGATGGAGCTTGGAAAGAGGAGTCACTAGTTGCAGGTTTAGGAGCTACGTTTCAGAGGCAATCTCCCTACAACACAACAGTGACGAGACTAGAACAAATGTCAAAATCCGAACAGTTTGTAAGCTCTCTTCTCATGGCGGAAGCTCTAGCGATCCGTATGGCATTGACACAAGCACAAAGCAAAGGAATAACTAAAGTATGCTTGTACTCGGATTCGCAAGTTATCATCGGAGCCATATCTTCATCTAGGCCGATCAAGGAGCTCTTCGGGATTTGTTGATCCGTGAGTTCGTCAATTTATTTTTAAACAGTAAAGGGATCGGAAATTCTTGTTTATTAACATCGACTCCGAAATGGAATACAAATCGAATCTGAGAATTATGAAAAAGGAATATGTAACGAGCTCGGAAGCTTAGGTCGGACGGACAGACCTTGTGCTCGGAAATCTGAGTGTCGTGTGATATTCTGAACAACGAGATCGGTCGTTTCGAGGTCGGAACCTATTAATGGAAATGAGATCGGGCGTTAGAGGTAATTGTCGAGGTGAATAACTGAGTAACTAAGTAACTGTGTGACTAGGTCGACTATGCCGGAAGTCGGAACCTGGGTCCAAGATCTGATGAGGGACGCGATGAGTGTGGTTGGGTTCGTTGAGCCTTTCGCCGACCTACTCGTTTTCGTCCGAGCGAGATCGACTGGATTTTCTCTGTTTCTAGGTCTCAAAGTTCTCTTCTCCTTGTCCGAAGGTCCAATTCCAAGAGGAAAAAAGCCTGCTTCATTATGAGGTTTAGGCTTCCTATTTATACTAGGAGGAGGAAACAAGGTGGTATGGGGTATCTGTTTTAAATAATCAAGCATGGGAAAATACTTGTTTTTCTAATAGATCGTGCTGGCATGGGGAACAAAGCATGAGTGTTTTTTGGAGGTTGTGCTGACGTGGCTCGATCCAAACGTCACCGGGCCGAGCTCATTTGATCCTCGATACCAAATCGAGCTCGTTTGATCCTCTTCATTTCCCGAGCACGTCTTCTAATCCTCTGCCGTCATGCCGAGCTCCTCTCTGTTTTTTCCATTGCTCCGCCGAGCTCGCCCAGTCTCCTTCGTTATTGGGCCGGGTTTGGGTAATGGGCTTTAAACTATTAATATTGAAAGCCCATGCCCAACAGGATTCTTCAAGACATTGCTTTTCTTATTTCCCAATTTAGTTTCATTGAACATGTACCTAGATCAAAAAACCAAGTGGCTGATTCTCTTGCAAAAAGGGCAATCCTAGAACCACAGATTGTATGACTTTGATGAAGAAATGAAAAACTTGTTTGTTAAAAAAAGGAGCAGGAAATGGTATCCACGTAATACAGAGCTACACATCATTGTTGTAATTACAAAGCATACAAAGAAACCTGGCATTAAGTGAGTTTGTGTCATAGTCTCCGACAAATTTTTTTGTTGTTGCTATGAGCCTCTATTATTGAGTGTTGCACAATGCAAACCAGATAAAGATGAAATCTATCCTATTTAATAACATGGAAAAAAAGAAAAAGAAAAATTTCAGGTCGAGTTTAGATTTAGACTAGTTTGATCATTCAAAAATAGATTCTTAATTAGAATCTTGATCAAAAGTTTTTCGGAATCCATGAGGTCAAACAATTAAAAGAACAGCTGAATAAAACGAGAGGGAAAGACAAAGAAGATATCCATCCATCTTTATAAAGTTAAAAGGTCATAATTAATCAGGTCAATAATCAAAAGCTTTTTTAGGAAAATTCAACTCCCCAAAGATCAAAGTTAAAAAAAAAACAATTAAAGCAAAGTTAAAGAAAGTGTGGAACTTTCAAACCAAATGCTAATAAAATAAGTGTTTTTTAAAACTAACAATTGTCTTGGTGAGATTTAAAAAACTACAGTTTTAGTTAAATTACATGTGTAGCAAGAAGGAGTAGATTTTAGTCCTAGGCACGGCAATCCGCTCCGTTTGAAACAGATATTAGATTTTTCGATCCGATCCGCTCCGGTATTTTTAGATATCCGAAAATTTGTAAATATGCGTGAATATCCGATCCGCTTCATTATAAGTCGGATAACCGATTTTTTTTTTAAGTTTCGTGATTATCTGATCCGATCCGTTAAAAAATACTCTAAAACCTCGAAACTCAAAACAATTAGATACATACAGTAAGTTTATATTATCTTCAAGATAAGTTTTAGTAAAACTAAAACACGATCAATGTAGCTGGTTTCATAATCACGCCTTTCAAAATAAGATGTTAAGATAAAAAACTATACATCTTAACATCAAAACATAAGGCAAAGACAAAACCATTCAGTAAACTCTAGTCTATAGTCAGATCACTTCCAAGTAGTTCCTTCATATCCAAAAACTTTCACCAAAATCCAAAAAATTTCATCAATCTTTGATTGTCCCTTCATCTTTCATCAGCAATCTGCACACACAAAACCTAATCAAATCAAAAGCAAAACAGAAAACAACATAAGATCAAATTATTAACTTAGTAAAGTTTTTTTTTTTTGAATTGAATGTAAAATTAATTCAAACCCAAAAAAACGTTTTTACAAATGATGTGACCTTTGTTTTGAGTTCTGAAAAATTAAATCATAAAGTGGTTAAGAAATTGAGGAGGAGCAATTCTTCATCGTGATCTAAACCAAACTACTAAACCTTCTGCAAATCTCGGATCGCAGCATCGAACAGTTGAAACTCTATTTCGAACTTGTTTGTCGATTTGTTGAACTTAGTAAGGCTTTTAACCAAATGCATTTACATATATATATATATATATATATATAGATAGGATCGGATTTTAGTCTTTTTTAAATCACTATTTGTTATTTTCTTTATTTTTACGGATACCATATTTTAGTATTTGCTTTATTTCAAAATTTTATGGATATTCAAATTTTTCTGTTCTGATCAAAACGTATAACTAATCAGATCGAACTTAACTGATTTTTTTGCCCAGACCTAGTAGATTTAGAGCACTAAATATGATTGGTCATTGAAGTGTACTTGATTATCGTCCAAAAACTTTATCTCTGACTGCAGTGGCTCCATTTGGAAGAGTTGATAATTAAACCACAACAAAATTGTTCACAAAGACACATTTTTGCAAAAAAAGATTGATTTGAATACGTTTAATATTTAATTAAAACAAAAAAAAATTGGTTAACATTTCTTTACCGTACCAAGAAAAATTGTACACTCAATATGAAATGACAAAATCAAAGAGAGTGAAAGAAACAAGGAGAATTCATAATTGGTTGGAAGGACATTTTTTTTAACAGATGACACTTTAAAGTTAGGGGGAAAAGATAGAACAATTAGAATCCAATCTCAAGCTAGCTAAAATGTCAAAAATATTTATGAATATAAGTTGGTTTTGGAGGAGAGACATCCTAATCTCAAATTCTCAATAATAAATCCTCAGGCCCGGCTCAAATAAATAACCTCTGCTTTGAATAATGTTTCTGGTCATTTGTTGTAATTACAAAGAATCCAAAGAAACTTGACAACATAAGTGAGTTTGCGTCATAGTTCTGATACCTGTCATAGTTCTGATACATTTGTGCTGTTACTGCCTCTATTATTGAATGGTGCATAAAAAGAAGCGCAACCGAGAAAAAAATATGGAATCTATCCTATTCTATAACTTGGAAAAAAAACAAAAAAAAATCTCAGAGATTGAGTTTAACATATAATTTTAGTAGTTTGATCATTCAAATATGATTTGTTTTTTAAAATTAGAATCTTGATGAAGGTTCTTTACAATCTACGAGGTGAAGTTCTTTGGAATCTATGAGGTCAATCAATTTAATGAACTATGGACTAAAAAGAGAAGGAAATACATAATTAACCAAATCAATAATCAAAAGTCCTTTTAGGAAATTCAACGCCCCAAAAATCCAAAAGTTAAAAACAAAAGGAAGATTTTGAGAATTACTCTAAATTTAAATAAAATTTTGCAAAGTACATTTAATCTTGTAGAATTAGAAAATATATCTTTTTGTTACGTAAAAATACAGAAATATTCATATACATATTTAAAAATATTTTATTAGTAAACTAATTCTAAAAGCTAATTTATTTATTAAATTTAAAAATAAAGATTGACTTATTTTACACAGTCGACTTATATTTTGGTTGGTTGATTTTTTACTTTGTTGATTTATTTATACAATTGATTTAATTGTTTTATGTTCGTCGACTTAATATTCAGTTTCGTCGATTTATTTTAAATTGTTGACTTATATTTTGTTTAATTGATTTTCACTTTGTTGACTGTTTAACCATTGACTTATTTTTTATTTTTGTCAACTTAATATTCAGTTTCGTCGACTTATTTTAAACTGTTGACAAATATTATTGTTTGCTTGATTTTTTACTTTCTCGACTTATTTAACCATTGACTTAATTTTCCGTTTTGTCGAGTTATTTTAAACTGTTGACTTATATTTTGTTTGATTGACATTTTAAGTTATTGACTTATTTAAACAACTACTCTTATTTTTAATTCGTCGATTTAATTTTTTTTCATCGATTTATTGTAAACTATCGATTTATATTTTGGTTGGTTGACCTTTTATTTTGTTGACTTGATTAAACAATTGACTTAATTTTTATGTTCATCGACTTGACATATTATTATTATATAAATTAATTAAATTATAAATTATAAAATTAATTCGTAATTTTATTTAATAAAAAAGGTAATTGTATTTAACTTAATTTATTGTAATTTAACTTAATTATTTAATAAATAAAATTTTAAATAAATATTAGAAAAATCAAATGATTTTCTTTTTCTAACCTAATCTTGTTAAGTAATGATAGACAGTCATTTTAACTCTTAAAATAGGATATTTTCAAAGTATAACAAATTTGGTATAGATTTCAAATTTTCAATAATATTTAGGGTATACAAGTCAATTTTTCCAAAAAAAAAATTAATTATAAGTCGAATAAAAATAAAAGAAAGTGTGAAACATTAAACCAAATGCTAATGATGTAAAATCATGGTTAAAACTTAAAACTAATAATTATCTTGGTGAGATTTTAAGAACTACAGTTTTAGTTAAATTACATGAATACCAAGATTAAAGAAAATGTATTTCACGATTAGAAAAGTAAACTAGTTTGAAAGTAGATTTAGAACACTAATAAAGGTATCTTTCAAGTTGCAATAATAATTGAAAGTTGAATGCAAAAAAAAAAAAAAGCAACAAGAAAAGATGATTGGTCCTTGAAGTGTACTTGCCTTAATTTATAATATGTTTTTAACAAATCAGGACCCTAATTACTTAAAGAAAATTGAAAAAAGAAGAAATTCGGTACAAATGCAGAGTGAGCACATGCTCTCAACCGATGACTATTTTAATTCTACACGTTCATCTTCTGACCCATATTGCCCCACAATACATTATTACAAAAGAATGAGTAATTTTTTTTTTTTTGAGAAACATATCATCTTTTTTTCTTTCACCCATAGTTTTCAAAAAGGACAACACTTAGTTTTCAAAAAGGACAACACTTAGTTTTCAAAAAGGACAACACTTTCAAAGCTTGTGAATCAGTCGATAGAGACAAACATGGAAGGGTCATAGTAGTTGAAATGAAAACAAACATTTAATTACATAGAAACATTTGAACCTTGGCTTTCACAATGGGGTTATTAGTTTAAAAAGGGGAAAACTGTACCTACGTAACCACTAAGATCATTTGATATGCTTAAAAGGTCCAAACACTTTTTATAGAAAGATCAGACCTTAAGAGTTGAGATTTTCTGCGTAAAACCAAATCACAAATTTCGAACCACACAAAGATCCGGTGATCCAACGGTGACCCATAACCGAAACAATTTTATCTTGGACATTAGAGAATACAAGAACATGGCTAATCACGGGTTGGAAAATAGTAATGGCCCACTAAATATTGGCCCAAAACAAAATCCGCCCCACATTAGAATAAAAGATTATTTATATGAATACACAAAAATAAATTCTGAGGTAAAGTTATATGAAAAAACAAAAATAATTTTAGTAGTTTGATAATTCAAAAATGATTTTTTTTTAATTATAATCTTGATGAAGGTTCTTTACAATCTATGAGGTTAAGTTCTTTAGAATCTATGTCAATCAATTTAATGAACAATGGACTAAAAAGAAAGGGAAAGACAGAGAACAGAACACATCTTTATAAGTTAAAGGACATAAGTGCATGAGCAATGGGGTGTTCTTAGAGTGTTCTTAAAATATAAAATTATTAAAATTTGAGTAAAAGGAAGAAAGAGAATGTTTTGTGGGTGTATTGAAATATAAAATTAATAAAATTTGAGTAAAGAGAGGAGATAGTGGGTGTATTTAATGTAGAACTTTTGAAAAGTGTTTTTCAATTAGAACATTTTGGAGGGTGTTTTTGGAGAGTGTTTTTGAATAGTGGGTGTGTTTAAATATAAAATTAATAAAAGTTGAGTAAAAGGATGAAAGAGATGTATAAAGTTGAAAAAAAAGGAAGAGAGAGTGTGTGTTTTAATAATTTTATATTTAAGAACACTATAAGAACTCCCCAATTGCACATGTGTTCTTAATTAAGAACACTCTAAGAACACTTTTAATTAACCAAATCAATAATCAAAAGTCTAAGAATGTTCTTAGAGTGGGTGCTTTGGCCATGTGCAATGAGAGAGTTCTTAGAGTGTTCTTAAATATCTATTCTATTAAAATAGATGCACATTTAGTGCTTGCATCCAAACAGTCCTAAAGTTTTTTTTATAACCTTTTATTTTATATTATAATTAATTTCGAAAATTGGTTACTAATTTAGATATTTTTAGATTTCCTTAAATATAGGTTATATTTAATTTAAATTTTAAATTATTCGAAATTTTTATTAATTAAATTTAATTACAAAAATTTAGATTCAATTTGATTTCAAATTCAACAAAATTATTAATTAATTTTATTACAAAAATTAAATAATAATTTTAATTACTTTAGAATTCTTTAAATACAGGTTAGATTTAATTTAAAATTTAAAATTTAAATAATATTTTTATAATAGCACAAATGGTAAATAAATATCTTATTGTATTATTTATCATAATCAATCCGTATAAAGTATCAAATATTTAATATTAGTAAATATTTATATTTTACAATAATATGATAAAGCAAGTTAAAGTTATACATTTATAATAGCAATTTTATACGGATTAGTTTATCAAAACATGTAAGATATTAAAAAATGATTTAAGATAACTAAATAGACGGGTTAGCTAATTCATAGATGTATAGACTATTTATGTGTAAATCTAAATTTACATAATAATAAAGTTCATAATTAACATTATAAATCAATATATACTTAGTTAACTCTTATTCTTATTCTACTAATATATAAATATATACTATTCAAAGTTAAAACATGATAACAAAATTCTTGAATTAAAAAAAAATAACAAAAATAAATTCTATTAAAAAAAATTATATTAGAAATAAAAAATGAAAAAATTTCGCACGGAGTTAGAATCTAGTAAAATTATTAAAACACACACTCTCTCTTCCTTTTACTCAACTTTATACCTTATTTTTCATCATTTTACTCAACTTTTATTAATTTTATATTTAAACACACCCATTCTACATTAAATACACTCACTATCTCCTCTCTTTACTCAAATTTTATAAATTTTATATTTCAATATACCTACAAAAACACTCTCTTTCTTCCTTTTACTCAAATTTTAATAATTCTATATTTTAATAACATTCTAAGAACACCCCATTGCACATGCCCTTAAATAACCAAATCAATAATCAAAAGTCTTTTTTTTCGGAAAATTCAACACCCCAAAGATCAAAGTTTTCGAATCAAAGCTAAAGAAAGTGTGAAACCTTAAACCAAATGCTAATGATGTTATTTCATGGTTAAAACTTAAAACTAACAATTATATTGGTGTGATTTTAAGAAGTACAGTTGTAGTTAAATTACATACATACCAAGATTAAAGAAATGTATTTCACGATCAGAAAAGTAAACTAGATTGAAAATAGATTTAGAACACTAATAAAGGTCTTTTTCAAAAACACTAATAAAGGTATGTTTCAATAATAACTGAAAGTTGAATGCCAAAAAAGCAACAAGAAAAGATGATTGGTCCTTGAAGTGTACTTGATTACAGTCCAAAAACTTTATCCATACAGTGGCTCCATTGAGAAGAGTTGATCATTTTACTCCACAACAAAATTGTTTCACATTTCTTCACAATAATAAAATTTAGATACTCAAAAACAAAAGAAGAATTGACAGACATAGAAAATAGTGAAAGAAACAAATGGCACTTTTTAAAGTTTAAACCATGGAAAGAAAAAACAAATAGAATCCAAATTGAAGCCAGCTTTAATGTCAAAACTCAAAAATATTTATGAGATAAGCCGGTTTTACAGGAGAGACATCCTAATCTCAATAATAATTCTCAGACCCGGCTCAAATTATATATGAATTTTTTTTTCCAAACTTTAGTTATATTATGATTATTTGAAAATCTGAGAACGAGAGCCTTAATTTATAATATGTTTTTAACAAATCAGGACCCTAATTACTTAAAGAAAATTGAAAAAAAGAAGAAATTCGGTACAAATGCAGAGTGAGCACATGCTCTCAACCGATGACTATTTTAATTCTACACGTTTATCTTCTGACCCATATTGCCCCACAATACATTATTACAAAAGAATGAGTAAATTTTTTTTTTTTGTTGAGAAACATATATCTTTTTTTCTTTCACCCATAGTTTTCAAAAAGGACAACACTTAGCTTTCAAAAAGGACAACACTTTCAAAGCTTGTGAATCAGTCGATAGAGACAAACATGGAAGGGTCATAGTAGTTGAAATGAAAACACACATTTAATTACATAGAAACATTTGAACCTTGGCTTTCACGATGGGGTTATTAGTTTTTTTTTTTTTTGTTCAAATGGGGTTATTAGTTTAAAAAGGGGAAAACTGTACTTACCTAACCACGAAGATCATTTGATATGCTTAAAAATCCAAACACTTTATACAAAGATTAGACCTTGAGAGTTGAGATTTTCTGCATCAAACCAAATGAAAAATTTTGAACCACACAAAGATCCGGTGATCCAACGGTGACCCATAACCGAAACAATTTGATCTTTGATGGATTTTATCTTCGACATTAGAGACATACAACAACATGGCTAATCAAACGGGTCGGAAATTAGTTCCACAGTAGAATAAAAGATTATTTATATGAAATACACAAAAATAAATTAAAGGGGTCTCGAAAACCTAGCCGCTTTTTTCTGTTCCTCTCATCTTCTCCAATGGAGGGCAGGGGACTCAAAGCATGCTCCTCATCCACCGCATCCACCGATGTCGAAGCTGCAGATCTTGAGGGCACGAAGCCCTTGCAGGAAGCTGAGAGAGAGCTGCAGAAGTCGGAGGAGAAATCTGAGGAAATTCCTACTACTAAACCAAAGCGTAAGAAGCAGAAGATGACTCCTGAGATCAAGGTCAGATTCTGACGATGCCTTTTGCTTGGCTGCTATTAGTATTAGGGGTTGCGTTTTAGTTATGATTCTGTCCGGGGAAAGCTATGATTTAGCGTTTTAGTTATGATTCTGTTCGGGAAGCTAGAAATTATTCATCTTTTGCTTAGCTGCTATATATTAGGGGTTGGTTATGAGATAAAGGTTAGATTCTGATGATGCCTGTCCGTTGTGGTAGGGGTTACGTTTCAGTTATGATTCTGTCCGTTGGAAGCTATGATTTAGCGTTTTAGTTATGATTGTGTCCGGGGAAGCTAGAAATTATTCATCTTTTGCTTAGCCCCTATATATTAGGGTTGGCTCTAAAAATGAAAATTTTCAGTTGGTTTTGCTGAAATGATTTTGCTGAAATGATTTTGGAATGGCAGGAAATGAAAAATCTGAGGGAATCTTTCAAAGAGATGACTGAAACTGTGAAAAAACTACAGGAGACTTTACTTGTACAGGCCGGTCTACCAGTGATTTCCTTCAAGGTATCTTGATTTGGTTTTGTGCATTGATTTGAGACTTTACTGATAAATGCCGGTCTACCAATACTTTACTCTTTAGCTACAATCTCTAGACTTTACTGGTTGAGAAATGACACTTTACTCTTTAGAACTGGTTGATCTGTATTGATAAGTGTACTGATTGTAGGAGAAAGGAACCACCCCAGTGGAGAAAAATGAGGAGAAATATGAGTGCTGTTTCGAAAGTAAAGAGTCGGATGTAATGCACAGTAAGGATCATACCATATTCGTCAAGGGATTTGATCCTTCCCAAGCTAGGGATGATATCAAGACCGCATTGAGGGCGCATTTTGGTACATGTGGAAAAGTCACTAGGGTTTTTGTTCCCACACAGTGTAAAACCGGTGCTACCTTAGGATATGTTTTCGTTGATCTGCAAAGTGGTGCAGACAAGGCCTTAAAACTCGCTGGAAGTTTGTTGGGAGGATGGAGTCTTGAGGTTATGATGGCTAAAGACATATCGGACATATTCTATGGACTCTCTAACTTGAAAGGATGTCCACGTTGTTCGGTTATTCTTCGACAACGCATGCACAAGAGATTCATTACTACTCATGGTGGTCGTTGCCTCACGCCCCATTTCAAATTCCCATTGAAGAAGAAGATCAAGGAGCCCTAGATAGTGTTGGTCGTTTTTACATATATATTTATCGTATTACAGACGACTCCTCTATTTAACTACTTGCATAATTTATGCTTTAATTAAGTTATCAACTCTGTTTTTGTAATATTTTTAAGTAACTTTTGCAAAATTATTAGTTTGGAGTACTAAAGCAAATTTGAAAAAATTGTCATATACCATAACTCAGAAGGAAGAAAGAAATGGTAATGAACAAATGATGTTAAACCAATTGCAACTGCTAATGATGTTCACAGTTCTTCAGAATACCAAGAAAAAGTCTATTGGTCAAGAATAAAGATTATTAGTCGATAGAGACAAACATACGAAACATTTTGTTAGTTTAAAAAGGGGAAAACTACTTAACTACTCAGATCACTTGATAGACTTAAAGATCAAAACGAAATTGGCGTTTAATGAAATTATCAACTTTTTTTTGTAATATTTTCTTTAAGTCAAAGAGTACATTTAGGAGTGGTTCGCTTGGAGTACTAATGCAAATTTGAAATGAATCAAATAACTAATGGTGGTCGTTGCCTCAAAACCAATTTCAAATTACCATTGCTTAACACACACCAACTAGTGCTAATATATATTGATCGTTTCACCAAACTTTTTTTCTTTATTGTATTACGACTCGTGCTATTTAATTAGTTGCACAATTTATGCTTCAATGAAATTATTTACTTTTTTTGTACTATTTTCCTCAGTAAATTCATAAGTACATTTGGGAATTATTCGGTAGGGGTATTTACGCAAATTTGAAATTAGTCGCACAACTTGAAACAGAATGTTAAACTTCATGATAAATTAATACAATTAGAGTAAGACTTCTGGATCCGTAGCACAATGGTAGCGCGTTCGACTTTACATCAGAAGTTTGCAATTTCGATTGACGTCGCTTTCAAATCCCCGAAATTGAACCAGATATTTTATTGGTTTTTTTCTCTCGTTGGTACCATTCTCCGGCCCAATATAGCGAGACCCAACTATTTTTTTTCTTTTTTGGTCTAAAAGATTGATTCATTAATTAAACCGGACTTAAAACCGGGTTGATTGGTACGATACTAAAACCGGTCACAAAGACTGATTTGGAAAGCTCATCGGTTTCTTTGTTATCGGATCTGGGTAAAAAATTGAAACAAATGTTGCGATCTTGTGCGATCTTGTTAATATCTTCCAGGATCCCGTAGATCTCTAGGTTAATTTTGTTCTCTCTGAGGAGTTTGATTAGTTGGAGGGAGTCTGATGCCGAGGGCCAACTATTAACATATGATTTTTTGCATTTTCCCTTTTCAGATGGACGACTAGTTATTGCCTTATTGATATACCTTTGGATTGTTGCTGTTTGGCGAGGCAAAAGGTGACCGAAGAAATGTTAAGATTATTGATTACATTTTCTTGTTGATGGTTCTTGAATAACCATTGTAGAAAAGTTTTACACACTCATCTTCTATATATTAAAGGAGAAGCATTTTTGGATTAATTTGCTTAGGTGTCAAGCTCTCAATTTTTTGTGCTTTTAATTAAAAGTAAAATCCTGTTATTAATTATCTCTTATACTATTATCCAAACACTTCACAATCCTATACTATTATCCAAACACTACACAATCATACAATCCTTCCAATCAAACATCATTAGAAAACAATTTTTTTGATTTAAAAAAAAACGTAAATAATTTTTTTTACTATTAATATTCACATCTTCTTATAATTATCATAAACCTATAAAATTCAATTCAAATTTGCAATCTTTTATTTTGTATATTTGAGTCATAAACCGTATTTTTGAAGATTGTTATATTAAAAAAATATATTTTATTAATAAGTGATATATATATATATATATACTAAGAAAAAAAAAAATTTGTTCTCAATTATTCCACGGGCGGGATATATTTATATATAAAATAATTACAATTTTCATATAAATATAAGCGCTTACAATAATTTTTCCAATATAACTATAGATGATTTTTTTAAAAAATTGAAACTATATTGATTTTATTCGAATATATTATCCCGCGTATAACGCGGGTAACTATCTAGTTTGATATATAAAGATAAAGTTTGCGTGCTTTATCTGTTATTTAAAAAAAAATTAGTCGAAACAAGAAGGATATTAAATTTAGTCAAACAACAATTTTTTAAAATTTATTGGAAATACAACTCATATCTTAAAGGTAAATTATTTACCATATTTTTTTTTGACTCAACTGTCTACCATACAAAATAATACTAGATTTAGATCCGTGCTGTGTACGGGAAGTTTTTTTTTATAAAGATTTCAAGTTTAGAGAGCATATATAATTTAAATTTGTATTTGTGTGTATGTTGATAGTTAGGTTATAAGAATGATTTTATATATCTGTCGCATTACTTGAATGTATATTAACTTGGTATGGTTTTTGTTATTTATAATTCAGGATAATATTAATTAAATTTTCAATGTTGTCTACATAATATAAACATATATATAGTATTAGACGAATATATATACATATATCTATCGTAATGAGCAAACAGCTATAGAGAATAATGAAAGCAATCTATCTTATTAATAAATACTGAAGTTGACATAATTTCATAGAATTAAAACGTTGACTACTTCACTTGGTCACCTTTGTAGCTAAACGACATGAATAGTTGAACCTCCAAACATAATTAAGTACTATATCCTTAGTCTTTAACCTCAATGTCATTATTCTCGGTCTTATTGGATTTGAAGTACCTAAATAGTTATATACATTACTGGCATTTAGTAAAATATCAAATATTTATATAGTACTTACTTTTCTTTGAACTTGTCAACTTCAACAATATGGGGATCAAAAAGAAACCTTGACATTCCTCTTGCATCAGAAACAGTCAATGTCCCTAAAACAAATATTTTATGTATACTTAATATTTGATTAAACCATAATAACTATTGTTATCATGATTAAATGTTAATAAAATAGTTAGAAACATACCATTGTTGTAAGTTATACGCCAGTCTGTCAATACACATGTTATATTAGAACCACAGGCAGACCACCATTGTGATTGGAAATCATCAGCCAAGTTACCAAAAACAACACAACTAATTTCAACATTCCTACAATTTATTAACAAAATATATTGTTATCTTAATAACATACAACTAAATAGGTAACGATTCAAATACTTACTTGATATTTCTCAACGTAAATCGTAGTCGACTATAGTATTTACGAAAATCACAATCTAGTCCGTAATCCTTAATCCTTGTAAGTCGTCCAACGTGGACAACAGCACCAAGTAGATCTAGTATCACATAAAGCATCAAAAGATGTTTTAAATAATTTAAATTGAAATTCAATGATATTTATAAGACAAATATGAAATACCAATAGGATATTTATGATCAATAGTCCCATCCAAAATATCCTCAAACTCTGAGAAAGAAATAAATTGATTATCGGTGGGGATTTCATATAGCCTTTTGACAGAAGTATTCTGAAGTAGAAAAATCCTCCATTTATGATGAGTTGTTTTCTGAAACCAAAATGAATCATTTATAACAAAATCATGTAGAGTATTCCACTGTCCTTCTTGCAAAGCTTGATCATAATACGAAACCAACACAGGATTAGTCATCGAAGCTTGAATCTTGCATCCCTGTGATAATTTCAGTATCAATATATTAAGATGTTACCGAAAAATAATACTACTATGTAGTAAATAATAATAACTTACTTCTTCATCCACCAGAATAAATTCCAAACCTTCAATTCCTTGTGGACCAAGAGTTTCCCATTTTTTTAAAACCAATATTTTGATTTTCCAGTCCGATCTCCATGAATGCAAATCAGAAACTCGGTGATAGAGTTTCATGGTTAAAGGGTATGATGTGGTATCTAGGTTTTATACAACTGCAAAATCCAATATATATAGGAGGCTTTAGGTTTATAGTAATACAGTAAGATTAATATGTCTAATAGAAACAGAATATCTCGCATGGATATTTTCCAAGATCAGGAAAATATATTTATCGTTTGAAATTTAGAAACTAAATATCTATTAATAAATTCATATATATTATTTTTGATTATAGATAAGTGATTTTTATTTATTGATGATACGATGGTACTATTTATATAGAAGTACAACGATATATATAAACTGTATAATATAATAGAAAAACTTGTTTAAGTTGGTGCATGTTAAGGATG